TATATATATATATATTTAATCTTATTCATTTATATTATTTATATATATATTTTTAGATATAAATCCTTTATTTTCAAGATATATGATGTTGATAATTTTTTTAATGAAATTGAGACATGAAGAGGCCTTTCTAGCATGAAAATACAAATTCAGTTCGTTTTACAGTTGTTTTAAAAATAATAATAAAATAAATTTTTAAAATAATAAAATAAATTTTTAATTAATTTTTAAGTAATAATTTTTTTTTGAAAAAAGTTACTTAGCTTATTCTGAAGACGTTAACGTATTAAAATATGTTGCAAATAACTTTAAAATTAGTGCATAAAGGTTAATTTTGTTTTCTAAATTTTACAAATATAAAAATTTGCATAATATAATTTTATATAATTTTTATATAATTTTTTTTCAAATTTACATTTCAAATCTTAACATTTACATTTAAATTTTTTAGGAAAAAAACTTAAGAAAGAGTAATTAAAACAGTTCCTAATTTAAATTTTTATAAATATCAACAACGGGTAAAATTACGTCTCGATTATTTCTTCTTATACAGTCACACAGTTTGCTTTAAAATTAAATTTCTTTTTTAAGTTCAGATGATTTTTTTTTCAAATCTAGGTAATCGTCCATTTCGTTACAATTTACATATTAATAAAATGTTCTTACAAAAAGCTGCTGTAATACATATTTTTCTAAAACAATTCCGCGTTTTTGTAAAAAAAAATTGACTTTTGAGAAAAAAAAACAATGACGAATGCGAGGCAATGACGGGGAACGATAAGCGAAGTAAGCAGGGTTGCATTCACGTAATATATATCTCCAATAATATTCAAATTTTTTTATATAATACAATTTTTTTAGAAATATATTAAATAGGAAACTGTCCCGACTTAACTTTCAGATAAAAGAAAATCTTCGATGCGCTAATTGAAATAGTTCAATGCTCATAAAAAGAACTATGTAATTTAGTTAAAAATAATAACAAAACAAATGCAATATTCTCATAATTTAATCAAAAGTAATGTAAGTTTCTTGTTCTTCATAGCGAAATCATAACAGATAATTCTTATCTGTCTTTTTACTTTGTTAATTGTCTTTAGTTCGATGCATATTTTTCGCATTGTATTCTTCCATTCAAATATTCCTTATCATGTTTTTATACTTGTTAAACGAAGGCAAAATATTTTCTGCAAATAAAACGCAATACTATTTCAAGAACAATAAGTATTATTGCCAATCAGTGCTTGTCATTTTTATCTCTCTTTAAATGAATTTATTAATTTTAGTATGTGAAACTTGTGTGCCATTTGAATAACCTACTCTTATTCCTTTTAGGAACAACATGAAAATCTTGGCATTATCTCTCCTTTTCACAGTTGTAGCAGCTAATAGCGGTCTCTTTGATCGTAATTTGAACGAACATTGGGAAAATTTCAAGGTAAATAAGCTGTGAGGAAGAAAAAAAAGTGATATAAAGCATAGATTCATGTTACATTTTCCTTTAAAAAGTGCTTTCCAAGCATTTTACGATTAAAACAGCAATTATTTCTGATAGAATGTTAGAAACAATTCATAGATAGGGATTATATTAACGCATAACGGAAATAATAAGTTAAATCAAGCTTAGTAGCTGATATCATTTAATTAAATTACTAATCTGAAATTAAATTAGAAAACATGAACGTGATATTGCTTGGTTGTAAAACGTTGCTAGGGATTAGCCTCTTTAAATATATAATTATTAGCTGTCTAGTTTAAAGCACTAAAATATTTTTTTAAAAACAAAGAAAAAGCTACAGTATTCCTAGGAAAGAGACAGAAAAATCCGTTATGAATGACAAGAATTTGAAATCCACTTATTTTTAAAAATAAAGCTGAAAACCCAGCTTGATTTTTTTTCTTTTTGAGAGTTCAAGTAAGTTGCAAACATAAAATTCTTAACATAACTATAATCATGTCACCTTAATTGATCATTACGATCACCGTTTTCAAGAGTATTTTAAACTGGGGGTATTGATATGAGAATCAGTACCACTTTTCCAACTTCTATTTAATGCATTATTTAATAATGTTCCGATACTTGAATTAATAATGTTCGATTTGTAACAAAGCGATGTATAAATGTTGTTACATATGGCTTCATTGGAAATATTAATCCATATACAATGTTCAACTTTAAGTGGACATAAACAAGGAGTAAAAAGGAACAAAATTACATTCACAAACAAAGAAAACACATGACAAACGCATATTAACACTAAAAGAACACATAGATAAAATTAAAGTAAGAAGAAAATATATATATATACAGTGAAGAAAGAGGAGTAGTCTTTACAGTGAGTTCATGTGATCTCTGGCATCCCAGTAAAGTTTACAGAGATCACCCCGCTCTTGAGATTGTTTGTCCAGTAAAGGGCATACCAGCAAGTGGTCTGAGTTCATGGTTCCCGAATTGCAGATTTGGCTGTTGAGAGTCTAAAGTTTGCCACAGCCTTCTTACGAGGACTGTGATAAAATTTCTTCCAACTGTTTTGGATGTTAGCTCAGGGTTTTCCGGTGGATTTTTTTGCTTGGTTGCGCTTTAGGTCGGTCATAAGTTTCTTGGAAAATTGTTTTTTAAGGGAGTCTGGTGAAATTGGTTTATTACATTGTGGTTCGAGTGTCCCTTTCTTGGCTAGTTGGTCTGCCTTTTCATTGCCATTGATTCCCACATGCGAAGGGATCCACAGGAACATAATAATTTTGTTGGCATTCTCGAGAAAAATCAAATTATTTCTAATTTCTGAAACAGCCTGAGTATCTGAATCATGGTTTATGGCAAATGCCTGGATAGCTGCCTTAGAGTCGACAAGGATTACTGCTTTAGTGAAGTAATTGATTAAGGTTTTCCAGGGCTATCGATATAGCGAAGATCTCTGCATCAAAATTTGACATTTAGTATCCCACAGAGGCGCTGTGAGAAAAGATCTTACTGTGTACTCCTGCTCCGGTGCTGTTTTGTATTTTTTAACCGTCAGTGTACACTCTCGTCCATTCTGGTTCAGGATATTGCTCTTGTAGCATGCATAATGCATTTATTTTTAGTACTGTCTCAGGTATGTTTTTCTTACCCAAATCATTGATATCTAGTTTGTGCCTGACATCTATAAATTTCAGAGGATTTGTGATGCTCTTGTTACAGATAGCGATGCATAAGTAATTCATCCTAAATATTTCGAGAAAAAAGGACAACTCCATCAATTATAAAAGTTTTGTATTTAATTTCTGTGTACAATTACTGCTACTTGTGGCCTAGGGTTTGAGCGATTTAAAATTGTAAAACTCTGAGTTGTACATACATTGTAAAGGGACGTCGGCAGCCCAATTAGCTCACGACATACATAGAAGCTCATACTTCTGCAATACTATTGTAAACGCCATCAAAAATTCTGCCATTTTGCTTAAAAGATCGAAATTATTCTAAGATTTATCGATATGTCTTGCATAATGGTATCCAATGTTAAATATATTCAATCATGTAACATGAATTTGTAACAATTAAAAATTCATTTCTTTTTATGTAGAGTACCTATGGAAAAACATACAAGGGACGTGAGGAAGCAAGTAGAAGATTAATTTGGGAGAAGCATGTTGCTGACATCGTGCGCCATAATCTTCAAGCTGACTTGGGCATCCACAAATTTAGACTAGGCATCAACGAATATTCGGACATGGTAAATTTGTATTGATATATATATATATATATATACACATATATACATATATATATACA